CAACACTTAACGTGCCGAAGCTTAAATAATCTAATTAAAAATACCAACTTTTTTTCTTTAAAATAAACTAGTTTCTGTACTTTGGAAGCGTGTTTATTTTCTTAATTAATTTATCGACGGATATAATCGTTACGTGAAATTTCTTCAGTGCGAAAATGTATTGTCAATACAATGCTAGAAGCGGTCAAATGTCTTAAAAATGATGATTTCAAGTTCCAAACCAACGAAAATTTCTGTTTATTTCACAAGAAAATTGTTAAAAAATAAATTTATAAACAATGATTAATTGTTGTAAAAATAATTGTATTATTGAACCTATTTTTTATCTAGGAAGTAACCTTTTTCTCCCGTTCGGTAATCCGAACCTCCTTAGTTTTAATTAGTTCGGATTAGCGAGTGATTTAAAAAAACATCTGAGGGACTCAAATATTTAAGTCTGGAAACATAGCCGATCTTGTACAAATGGTTTTCTACGCTTGTGTGCGACACATTTAGGGCCATAGCAATCTCTGGCACTGATTGGCTGGGATTTTGATAAACAATGGCCTTAACATTGCTCGTTTCAATTTCATATAGGCGACTAGACCGTTGAGCATCATTGATGTTAAACGTTCCTGAATGAAATTTGGCAAACCAATTTAGACAGGTGCGTTCGGTTAAGGCATCATCCGCATAAAGACTGCCATTTTTTCTATGAGCTTCTGCAGGTACTCACTTGGAGCTAGGTTTGGTGAATAGGGAGGATGGGGCAAAAGGTACCATCCATGACTCAATAATTAATTGCGAGTCACCAATGAGGTGTGCGGCCTAGCGTTGTCTTGGTGGAATACAACACCCTTCCGATCATTCAGGAAGTTCTCCAAATTTGATGTTACTATATCCGTTGGAAGGTTAATTATTGCACTTCAAAGCTGAATGAATGGTTTTTTATTTAATGCCTACATTAGGAATAAATAAACAAAAACTCCTTATAGGTTTTTATTTTTTTATCTCCATTTGTAATTTGTTTACCAAGGCCCTGTTGATGTCATTTTGTGTAGTTTATGTGACCGTAAATTTCTTGCAGATAGCTAAAGTCTGATTGAAGTTATAACATGTTTTGTGATTTTCGAAAAAAAAAAAACATGTGAGGGATACAAACATTTAAGCCAATCTTGTACAAATGGTTTTCTTATTGTGTGCGACACATTTAGCATCTCTGACACTGATTGAGTGGGATTTTGATAAAAAATAGCCTTAAAATTGCTCGTTTCAATTTCATGTAGATGACTAGACTGTTGAGCATCATTGATGTCAAAATTCCCTGAATGAAATTGGGCAAACTAATTTTGACAGGTGCGTTCGGTTAAGGCGCCATCCTCATAAACACTGCCAATTTTCCCATTAATTTCTGCAGCACGCTTACCTTTTTTAAAATAATAAAACAAAATATTCCGATAATGGATGATATTTTCTTCTATATTCACAGTGCAATATCAAACACAATGCTATGTTTCAACAAGAGTTAACAGATATAGTTGTTGACATATTACAAACAGGATAAACAATCCACCTTAGGGATTAATTCATCAGATAACAAGTGAATCATAGTGACGTAAAAATAAACAGAAGAACCGAAAGGACTTATTTGCCAACCCAAGTTGAAGCTATTCACGACGTTTCATGCGGATGTTATAATAGTTTGATAAAAATAGTCTGGAGTACTACAGATTATAAGGTCTCAACTATCGAATATCGGTTTGAAAATACTTTTTAAAGAACAGATTTTTTGAATTAAGAACTTCCATATTTGCAGAGAAGCTTATTTATGGAAGGAGGGCTTGGAGTCCTTAGCCGGCACAATGGGAGGGGCCTATCCTCGGTTAGAGGAAGGACTAAGAATAGAAGATGGCCCACTTTCGGAGCTCTCATAAATTTATAAGGATCCGCGGAAGGTCGTCCTTGACTGGATTCGCTAAACATTGCCTTCGGCTCGTTAATTAGAAGGCTATCCCCGCCTCTCTTTATCCCTTAATGGTATGATCCAACATCATTCTTGGCAAGCGATATAAATTCAGGTGACCATAATGATTCGAAAAATTTCTTAGTGGTTTGCTATATTTTAGAATGCTTATGAGTAATCCATATAGACACTTTTCTTAATCAATCATCATTCTTCTATTAGAAAAACTTAATATAACGATAAAAACAGTTTGCAGATTAAAAAATGTTAAGGAAAATGAAAATGTCTTAAAATTAAAATATATTATTGCATTTTTTTAGTACAATAATTGAAGAGAAGTTGATTGGGATGTTCAGTAAAAAGAAATAAATGATATGTATTTTTAATTTTCTTTTTTTTTACTGAACACCCCAACCAACTTCTCTTAAATTATGCACTAAAATCAATCATCAATACACTAGTATGAAGTATTGTATATATTGTTTTTAGAAATCAGTAATAGCAACATTTTATTTAAAATATCATAACATTATGTATTATTCATACTAGTAGGCCATTTCGATATAAAAATTCGCACAGCATATTGTTATCAAATGCTAAATTAATAAAAAAATAAAATAATGCAACATATCAAAAGATAAAGAAATCAATTGTTCCTTTATCAATAAATATAATCAAAAAAGAAGAAAAAATTAATTTAAATCTTTATTATGTTTGGAACCAACATGTATACAAATTTCAGTAAGCCGTATCTTTGCTAAATATTGTCTATGCCTTACGTTATCTCGAAAATAGTACGTTTTGGGGCTTAAAAACGCAGGATCCGATAGTTCCGGAGGAACTATCCGCGTCTTGCTGTACGCATCAAAATCTTCAATATCCAATTTATCCCGTATCGATCTACAGACCTACCAACGTTCCAGTATTGAAGCCTAGCAAAATGTTTGTATCGACTTTATTTATTTTAGAAAGAAAAACAAAAGTGGAGAATACGATTCGCTAATCCTCCCCCCCTGAAATTCTGAATCCAACGGTACCCCATTCATGGTATTTGAGCATGACAGGAGCTTGTATTTGGTACAAAACCGATTTCGAGCCTTACTGTAATAATATATGTGGGGATTCTTTAAAAAACTCTTCCAGATATATTGTAAATTTTAATAACAACATTTTATTGTTTATGTGTGTTTTAATAAAAAAATAATCCATTCTGATAAAAATAACAATTACTACCATTCCAATGTTTACTATAAAAAAATATTATTTTCTATGAATAACTTTTTTATAAAAATTATTTATTAAACGCGAAAAATGATGTCATAGGGTTTAATCAAATTAGGTTTGTTAGTTTTCAAGAAATTACGTCAGAAAATCTTCGCAACAAAAAAAAAAATATATATTCTATTATTTGTAAAGCATTCATTACCTATACGACGAAGGTACTATTTCTTATTTTTGTAGATTTAGAGGTTACTTCATTATATACAGAATTAAATTTTTATTCATTTTTATTTTTTGAGCTCTTGAGGTCTGCTATTTTTTTAACGGGGCACTTTATATATTCATATATCTTTTATTTTTATTTGTATTTATATATGTTCATATTGGTTTTTAGTCAGATTACAAGCGCTGGAAAACGTATATTTTTTAATCTAAAATTTGCAAAGGTCGCTTAAGACTCACTTTGCTTGAAACTCTGTATTGATTTTTTTCTCTTGGTGATTATAATGTTCCTCTCAATTTACCCTTACATTTGTTTAATTATCAACTTAAAAGAGTAGCTCAGTAAGTAAGGCACTGTACTCCTATTTTCCTGGAACAGGTTGGAGTTAATCTGTGTAATTATTTCTTCTGTTACATCTGCTAATCACCGACCCTGGGGTCGGAAGACCCTTCCGAGGAACACCCCACCTCTATAACGTGGATATGCTTAATGAAATAATGATTTATGAAAAAAAAAACAAAGATGATATCCGTCACCGTATGATATCGATATCACCCTCTTGCAATATCTTTGATCGAAAAGTACTTTCTTACAAAGTAGTGAACCCAAGACCATTCAATGGTTGTAGTGAGTGGTACAGATAAACGTAAGTGATGTTGAATTTTGAAATGATAATGATTCAAATCATGTCCCCAAACAGTTCCTGAGATTCCGTGATTAGATGCCGCTTAAATCTCGCCAGCTCCTTTTTCTTCATTCATTTTTAACCAACTTGATTACTGCTGCCTTTTAAATGGTGGACTTTCTTCAGAGATCAGATTGAAGCGACTGATGAATTGATTGATTAGATTCATCTTTGGTGTCCACAGGCGTTCCCGCCGTCTCCAGTTGGTATGCCGAATTGAAGTGGCTCTTTCCAGTCTTTCAAGAATATTTCCTAGATGTATTCATTTTCCAAATATTTACAGCCAAAAAACCTACTTATCTTCTTCATTTTATTGTTCCTTATTCCTCTGTCCATTCTCTAAATATGAGATCCCTGCCCACAATCCTGTATATTCCTTCTCATAGAACCGCTTTCTTTAAAAAAATCTTTATAATACATGCTACCTTTTTTTGGAATTCCTTACCCAGCTCCAAATGTAAAACCACATCATTAACTTCTTTTAAATACCAATTATTTATCTATCTGCTCAGGAATAAGTCTTTCGAATATGTGTGTGAATTAAAATTTTGTATTTCCGTGTTGTCAGTTTCTACTGTTATTTCACGGTTATCTTTATATCACCTGTCATTTTACCTACTTACTGTATTATGTTCATAAAGTTACCTGCACTTATCAGTACAAATATTGTATCGATAAACATACTGTTATTTATTTTCTATAATTTTATTTGTTTACTTATGCTTATCTCTCATTTTAATTCTAAGGTTACATCCGCAATTTAATCATTGCTTGTTATTTTATGCCAGACTAATGACACTTCTATTGTTTATTATTATTATTTTTAAGCGACTAAATGTCTCAGAATAAAATTTTCTTTTCGTTTTCTTCTTATTAAATAATTAAATTGAACCAAATATATATCTTTAAATTGTTTTTTGTTTTTTCAGGAACTAAGTAACAACTCCAGCGATAAGATGATAAAAATAAAAGAAGAAAACTACATTCAGTCAACAGAGCAACAGGCACTAGGTAAGTGAAATTTTTTATATAAAATGTTTGTTATTATTTTATAGCTAAATTTATTCAATAAAATACACAAATAATATATTTTAAAATCAAAATTCTTCCGAGTGTTTCGGAAATAAATTGATCAGTGAGGATTATCAAATGAATTTTTTTTCCCGGTTGTCGCATCAAATTTTAATATGAAACATCACGAAACCTTTGAGTTAGAGGAAAAGGTGAACATTATTCGTTTAAAGGGGATTTATTTCTTTAACAGTTATTTAACCCAATGTACAATTTCGAATCCCTTGATTAAATATAGTATAGTTTATAGTTACACAGCTTTAATTGAGTGTTTAAACAACCATTCTCATATAAATGAACAAATATTTGAACCTTTCAGTTGACAGAATGACTAACTCCAATTTCAATATTTTTGAGTAAAGTCATTTTAGTGATACTTCTAGTTGGAAAATTTATAATATCTGTACTGACAGTGGGTAAGTTGATTCCAGAGGAGGTGACTGCAGTGTTGGATTAAAGAACTGTAATAAAGATATAAATTTACTCACAAGAAATGTCACTCAAATTAATAATAAAAAAATGTTGGAATTGGATTTAGTAATTCTATCAACTGCAAGAATCATTTAATTATCGAAAACCTTTATTGTATTTTAATGCGTTTGAGCTGTATTACAATTGTTTTCTAAACCTCGGATGCATAAATCGATGTTTATTTGTAGCACAGCTTTCAGACGTAATGAGAACTACCACGACAGTATGTTATCTTCCCTACAGACGTACAATCTCCTCAGTTTTGTATTTTATTCAGATAGCTACAAAATACAGCTGTTGGCCTGACACCATCCATCCTATTTCTTCGCTAGAATATAAAAAGCTATGTCGGCGAGGGGCTAGCATTCAGATTTGGGAGCTATCCAAGTATGAAAAAGCCTTAGCCTTTCGTCATAACTTACTACTTTTTTTTTCTTTTATAGCGTTTGTTTTTTTTCCCTTCGTATAAAGAACGGTGTTTTTTTTGCGGCATTAACAAATATTAGTAAGCTTGCAGTATTAGCTTTCAGGACGATTATAAATATTAGCTTTTGTGATTGATGTTATGGGGTGAGATTTGTAGACGTTTTATTTGGATCCTTTTTTCAACAATATCATTTTCTCAGGGGTAATTTGGCAAATATTAAATTATGGATTTAATGCATTCATCGGAATAAGTTTTGAACTATTGTCAAACAAGCGAAAAAGGTTGCAAGTTATGTTTCCTTTCGTAAAGTGTATTTACATTAAATAACATAGCTTCTGTTTATCGAAAATCATCAATTTTCGTCAAAATATAAATAAACCACAATTTCGGCGATTAATTGGCATTTTAATTTATTTCAAACAATCAAGACAACAAATATATTAATTATGATTTTTTTTTTCAAATCGTAATACTGTGGAAATATGTGAATTAAGGATATAAAAAAAATGCATAATCTATTCATATCTTCTTATGTATCTGAAAAAACTGTAATTGTTACAAAAAACAAAGTTACCGATAATTTCCTTGTTTCTTTAGTCATTTTCTGTCATTTGCGAATAAAACATAACCTTCTTCCTCAGGAATAATGACAAACAGCTGATAAATGTTACCAAGCAGGAAAAAATTAAAAAACAAAAACAAAATAGATAAATATATTTCCCTTACAGGAAAGAATAGGTATGAATTAGACTTTCCACATCCTGGGTGCCATTAAGAATGTAACAAGAAAGTAATTTTTATCCGACATGGTTGCATGTCAACAAAGTCTGAAAGTCTTGGACTTCGTTCGTGTAATTAGCACCCGACTATTACACAAAGTTTAAATATTCCCTTAGGGTGGATAAGATTTCCCAATTTTCGTAGTCGGGTTTTTGTTATTTCAAATATGGTTTTATTATATTTTATAAACTGGGAACTGTCTCGATACTGGACTACCCCAGTCGATCACTACAGGCCTCTGCAAAGAAAAAAAACTTTAAATTTCATCATCGGTTGGGAGAATTCTCCTATGAAAATTAAAATAAATTGTTAAGAATATACAAAAAAAGGTTTCGAGTGAGAAAAAAACCAAACGCTATTGAAGGATGAAAAACCATTCCAATGTTTCATCGTAATTCCAGTCACGATTTAAATGTAACGTTTGTTGCTATTATAGCTAAATTTTCAAAGCTTAACAATTATTCACTAAAAATGAAATAAAATACAACCAGCGATCAATTTTTCATTTCCTAAAATGCATTAATTTGTATTATGAATCAACTAAAAAATATAGCTTCTTATTTTAGTTTGAAAGTTAGCACAGTTTAACGTTTCTTTATGATATTTCGTTTTTTCTATTGAGATCAATTCTATACAATTAAGAATGGAAAAATCCCATTATCCTATCATAGAATAATATTTGAAAATAAACAACCAAAATAAACACTTATTTTCTACTGCTAAATAGTAAAAACGGATTTTTTTTTTTGTATTTGTTTCCAGTTTGGGATTAAGTGTTGTTGTAGAGAATACTCTAAATAGGTTGAAGTCGAAATTAATTTATTATAATAAATTAAATAAAATGAATATTCCTAAAGTCTCAAAGGCTATAATCTGTTAATTCTTTACTGATAACGTTTTTGTATTCTAATATAATTCTCAACGTCTAAACATTTATTTTAAACCAGGCAAAGTTTTATGGACTCAATATAGCATCGTTAAAAACTGAACTAATGCCACATAATTCTGTACAATTAATTTCTAAAATATCTAAATAATACTTACAATATTTTAAATAAAATTTTAAATACTACATAGAATTTTTTTTTATTGTTATTTTATTTATGTAAGAAAGTCCACAAGCTCTACAGAACCTTAGTTACTTTATCCCATTGCTGTCATCGCCTAGTTGATGGTGATTTCATATAATGATAAATATGCTTGGAAAAACCTATTATTCATTCGTTGATTTGTTGACAACTATTTTTGGTTTGCGTATTAAATATTTCAACATATATTTGTTATTGTTGTTTTTGATTTTCCAATGGACACTTCTTTCTTTCATAATGAACGTAAAACTACATCAAATTAAAATAATAAAATAATATAGAAATCATTAATAAAAATTTGAAACAATAGTATAGTTCCACAAACATAATTTTAGTATAAATAAAAACAGGATTAAAAGCAAATGGTCAAGTGACATTAAATTAATAATATAATATTAATTAAAAAAATATTTTATTTTTATATTTATTTTAATTTAAAAAAATTAAAATTATTTAGAACTTAAAACTTAATTGACTAGTAAAAATATATTTATCTTATAATTAACAATTCAACTTTTCGCCTGAGCATGGTAAAAATGGATTTATAAATTAATTATCCTTGTATAAATAAAGAATCCACAATTAATTCAGCCATATTATTTGAAATTAATTATGAAATATAACCATTAAAATTGTTCTTCAGAATATCGGCCAAAATATTACGACTTATAACTAAACCAACCTTGGTACGTCACAAACAAAACCTAATATACAGATTTCCTCCTGCTTACAGCTGAACAACACAAATACACAAATGATTTCACAATAATTTACACGGGCATACTAACATACTAATGAATGATTTGGCTTCAGCTGACACACCCATCAATTTGAGGAGCAGATTAAAAAGGTGCTGGATGAGAGACCTTCTTCCTTGACAAACCATGGTAATTGATTCAAGCCATCGGCACTCCAAACAAAACAAAAAACTCTTTCGGATGTGGACATGTATCAATAAATAGCACGAGCTTTGTATTACGAAATTTATTTACCTGGAGCCGTAATGTCTAGTGAAAGGCACGTGACTATTATATTAATTTTAAAGATTGTAGATGTCAATATCTTTACAAATCTACCAACATATTTATGTAGATATGGAAGTACATTTCCTTAGGGTGGATAGAATTTCCCAATTTTCGATGGCGTTTTTTCTAATTCATTTTTTTTTTTAGATTGTTTGACATTTCTTACCTAGTGGTACTAATACGTTTCTCATCATAATATCGAACTCCATGTTTACACATTTGTTCCGCTAGGTTCGCAATCGGCTACACTCTGCCTTTTCTAAAATAACCGTTACATACTTAAAGGCGGCAAACCTAACCACATTACCCTGCTGTTGGCATCACCAATGTTCTTCAGGCTTGCTGATAGAACTGTTTTTTTCAGAAAAATATTCTGCCAAAGCCGGGCTCGAACTTTATCTACTGTAGGGTAGCTCGAATGTGAGACCACGACGAGTCTTGGTCTTGGTTTTTCGCCAAAGTCTCGCAAGAGTCTTGCAGTTACCTATTAGCTTATAGATAGCACGCAACATGTTACTTTAGATCTTAGAAAAAGGCAACAGAATAAGTACATTTAGATATTTTATTGACATAAATATAGTAAAGTCAACCAAATTAACTTGACAAAACACTATAGGCATTTAAAATTCTATTTTTTTCTTGAGTCGACAACTTCACTTAAAAACTCTTGCTTACGAATGGAGATATTCTCGTGTATCCTTAGGAATCCAGAGACAGATTTAAACCCCGGGTATTGAGTTACCAGACTCATCTCTAAAAGGATTGGTCAGCATTCACCCAGTGACCTATTTGTTTAGCATTGTTCTTATTTTTCTGTCTTCATTCAACTTCAAATATCTGAATTATTTAATTTTAAAAGAGTTTTCTTATTAGATGATGAACTTATAAATGTATAAAAATGTTTGAACTAAAGTTTAATTGAAATTATAACTGAAATTAGTACCGGTTGTTTAACGTATTGTTTTTTACGGATAATTTTTCTTTTTTTAAAATTAATTTTCGGGATATAGTTTCATTTTAACTGTAAGAGCGCTATCAGTGCTTTCCAAAAAACGTTTCTCCATTTTTCCATATAACTCTTCGTTTTATTAATCCTTGATTTCCTTCGTCTACATAACTAATAAATAGGTGATAAATATTCAGGACGCA